ATTTTATTTTTTTATTTTTTTATTTATTTGTTTGATTTTATGTATGTATGTATGTATGTATGTATGTATGTATTTATTTATTTATTTATTACATATTCAGTATTCTGTCTGCATGTATGCTTGCATGTCAGAAGAGGGCACCAAATCACATTGTAGATGGTTGTGAGCCACCATGGGTTGATGGGAATTGAACTCAGGACCTCTGGAAGAGCAGCCAGTGCTCTTAACCTCTGAGCCATCTCTCCAGCCTAAAGAATGCTTTTCTTTTTCTTTTTCTTTTCTTTTTTTTTTTCTTTAAGATTTATTTATTTATTATGCATACAATGTTCTACCTGCATGTGTCCCTGCAGGCCAGAAGAGGGCACCAGATCTCATTACAGATGGTTGTGAGCCACCATGTGGTTTCTGGGAATTGAACTCAGGACCTCTGGAAGAACAGTCTGTGCTCTTAACCTCTGAGCCATCTCTCCAGCCCCTTCATTTTATTTTGTTTTGTTTTGAGATAGGGTCTCTCATTGGCCTGGAGCTTGCTAATGAGGTTAGACTCGCTGGCCAATGAGCTCCAGGGATCTGCCTGTCTCTGTTTCCCCAGTCACAGGATTACAGGTACATGCCCAGCTTTTATGTGGGTTCTGGGAACCAAACTGGGGTCCTTGCAAAGCAAGCCCTTTACTGGCAGAGCCTGTCCCCAGGCCCCCTTGCCCTGTCCTTTCATGGAGCCCTTTATTTATCTTCTTCATCCAACACAGTTTGGAGTCGCATGCATGTTCTTATGACTGTTCTACTTGGGTCATCCTCACTCGACAGACAGCACCATGTGACAGAGGGGAGTCTCAGCAACCTGTGTGTCCTCATCTCATGCCCCAGAGACTACACACACACTGAGGAAATACTCATTAAACCCAACAATGATTGAGCTAATGAATGCCTGTAAAGGACCATACTGTAGTCAGAGAAGAGTGAGAGTAACCAGAACTCACTCAGCTGGACCCATGGATGTTTTCCCCCTTTTTTTGAGATTATAATTCAACTACAACATTTCTCCCTTTCTTTTCCTCCCTTCAAGCCTTCCCATAAACCACTCCCTGCTCTCCTTTAAATTCATGGCCTCTTTTTTTAAAAAAAACTAATTGTTATCACATGCATATATGTATATACCCATATATCCCTAAATATAACCTATTCAGCTCATACTTGCATATATATTTTCAAGGGTGACCATTTGGCACTAGACAACTAATTTGGTATGCCCATGCATTTTTTTAAAATTTATTTTAATTATGTGTCTGGGTGTGGGTATCACATGAGTGCAGGTGTCCATAGAGGTCAGAAGAGGGTGTCAGATCCCCTGGAGCTGGAGTCACAGGAAGTTGTGATCTGCCTGACATGGGTTCTGGGAACCAAACTTGGGTCCTCTGTAAGAGCAGTTCACAGTCTTGATTGCTGAGCCATCTCTCCAGCCCTGGCACCATGAATTTGACACTAGAATTTAGAAACAAAGTCTTGGATGTGGGCTGAACTCTCTTTTCCCTGATGGGAAGCCTGGCTGTTCAGTACACGTAGAGATGGCTCCAGAGATATGAATGGTGTGCCCCAGGGAGCAACAGAACCTAACCTGTATATCTTACGAAGATCTCAATCTAAACTTAGATTCCCGTGATTAAAAATTGCACCACCACCTCCTCTGAACTGCACTCAGCTTTCCTAAATGAGATTTTATGGGAACTGATTGTGATTAGATAAATGGGTGACTTCACTAATGTATAATCCAATTTTCAATTACATCGTAGGTACAATAATTTACGTTTCTTGTTTGGTGGTGTGATATTTATGTGGTGGGCTCTGCAGGAGACCTGGGGACTGTTTACATAATGATCCTGCTTCTCCCACTGCAAGGATCTGGTTTTCAATTTTCCTTTTTGTGCTGTGAGGCATCGTCCTTCCAAGGTAAACACTGTATATCACAGGATGTGCAGGTGAGGAACGTCAATAAAGTAATAAACTAGATGGGTTTTAATAATTCTTATTTATGCCACTGGATTAGCTAATAGAGTAGTTTGCCTTTCATAAAAAGTTGGAATAAAAATGTCCCTAAAATTATAGTAAATCTGTGATCTGTTGGCTCCATGACAGAGTACCGTTGAATACCAAAAATGAACTTTTATCAAATATATTCAACCATCAATAATTTAATATTCATTGTCTGGAGGCATTCCCAAAGCTGGGACAGTGTTAACAGTAACTATCCCTTTACTGACCTTTAACCCCAGGTCTGCATGAGACAATGGAGACAACACAGGGGTTTGAATGCATTTAACCCCAAAAGTCATTCCTCCCTTCCTGGCCAGTGAGCTGCCAGCCAAATCCTTCCAGATAGACCATGCTTCTTAAAATAACAAGCTGAGGCAGGGTAGCAAAAAGAAGACAGGAGAAACCAACCCTATTCAAGGATCACGTGCACACACACACACACACACACACACACACACACACACACACACAGCACAGAGGGTCTCCAACCCAGATGGCCCCACCCGCAGACAGGCAGAGAAAGGCAAGCAGGTGTCTGCAGCCACTCACCATGCTTTTGTCGAAGCAGCTTTCTCTCTTTATCCATATAAAAGGTTCGCTCAGCCAGGTGTTAGTGGCGCACGCCTTTAATCCCAGCACTCGGGAGGCAGAGCCAGGCGGATCTCTATGAGTTCGAGGCCAGCCTGGGCTAGCAAGTGAGCTCCAGGA